GAAAATCAAAGTACTGACATGAAGGAAAGACCTGCTGCAGCCACAGCTTCACATGGAAGGAACGTACCATGTAAAAGCTCAGTAACGTTTCCAACATTTTACCCTTTTGTGCTTTAGAGAAAAAGAAATTTTGCATTGAGTGAAGGATTTGCTATATCCCTAGAAATCTGTAAGACACAATTTCTCTCCTACTCATCACTTCTAATCAGACAGATGGATACATTGCTATGGAAAAAATACAAAAAATATAAAACTAAAACAATGACTGCATCATTTTTATTTATTTCTTGCATTCTCTGTTCATGTAGCAAGAAATTTAATTCCAGTTGGATCAGTCTCTTGTGATATTTTTTTCGTTCATTTAATATATTTTTTAAATGCTTAGAGGTATTATGACAGAAAAGCATGTATTTTTTGCCCTGGTTTATACCCATCATCCTTACCATTACAACAAGACAAAAGCATTAAAGTAAAATTAATCATGTCAAAGGATTTTAGCAAAAAACAAGGGAGACCATGCATAAAGCATCGCTTTGTCTAGTGTGAAGTCACGCTCTGATTAAAAACATATAATGAAAGTGAAAGTAATACATCATTGCCTTAGCAGTAGGGTTTTTTGGGAGAGCTATGCAATTCTGAACACAAAAAATCTTTATCGGCTCTGGATTTTGAAACTTGCAATTATTACAGAATAGTTCTAACAAACAAAACAGTTTCACTTCCTTACAGTTTAATTAATCTTAAACATTGCAGTTAAAACAACCAACCAAAGGAGTTCTAGGATTAAAGAAGGACTCCTGGCAGGACCGTAGCTGGCAATTAAAACCCAAGCAGCGGTGGCTGGTTCTGAGCAGTGAGGCATGAGTTGGTGGCAGAGACCCCCCTCCACTGCCCCACATCCAGTAAGTAGTTATGAAGACTGTGAAATACCATGGAATAATGAAACCTCATGAATAGAGCAGAACTTTTGCTGTTTGTAAGGACTGTCAAACACCCATCAGCCATTCAGTTTGTGTCACTGGGCAGTGGTAGCCTGTTGCTGCTACATGACATAGGTAGTACCCAGTTAAAAAATGAACCGGTGTTTGTGCATGTGTAGGCAAGCCTGAAAAGAAACCACGCAGTGAAGATCTGTTTGCTGTACTTTGCCATACAGCCTATAAAAGCCTCTGCTTTGCTCAGGCACGACTGTGCACTAAGTAGTGTCTCAAATTAAACAGCAACGTGCACATTATGAATCTCAGATTAGGACTGTGCCCACATCAAGTAAAATTAGGTGGTAGAAAATGTTTGTAAAATGCCACTTACTTTCTCCCTTTTTTCCCTTATTCTGTTTCTATTCTTTGTTGCCAACATAGAAAAAAATAACTCTCTGAGAAATACCAGACAGGAAAAATACACAGTAATACTAGACTGTGAAAAATCTACCGATCCCTTGAGCCATAGCATTCTTGCCTATAGATGATGACATTAAAAAATTGGAAATGGGTGCATGCTTCCCTTCCTCTTCTGGATCTATGAACAAGGCAAGTTGTTTTCCTGATACCTTCAGAATTACTCCCATTAGTACTGATGCATTTGGTGCTTTGGCTAGCCAGGCAGAGAGAGGTGGGCAGTATCCCCTGCCAATAGATCTAGTCTTGTCGTGGGAACAAAATGAGATTGTTACTCTGCTGAGCTGTCATACTCGATAGCTCGTGCTGTTCCACCTGCAACTGTCTTCACAGCTCCAACTGCAGCCACGGCTTACATGGAGTCAGTAGTTCCTGATGGTTGATCTTCTCCTGTTCCTTATGCATCACACAAGGCAGGACACAGAGCCCAAAGCAATGGAGTGGCTGGGACAGCCACTCTCCATGTTGAGAAGGAAAAAGGCCAGAGGCAAGCAGCTCCCTCTCAGACGGGTTTGCAGACCCTGCCGAGTAACTTCTGGGGCTCCTCTCAGCTGCAGGGGACACGAGAAGGTTCACTCTCCTCTCATCCATCTCCTCCTCAATGGCCCTGCCACTGCACCCAGGACTAAGTGTTTGCAAGCTTTGTTCCCACCTTCCCTACCTCCAAATGCCACTGGCACAGAGAGCAGAAAACCAGTAATGCAGATGGGTTTGGAGGAGGGAAAGGGGAATTTCTGTGCACATTTACATTAGATCAGTAAGCCTCCAAGTGCAAAACCTGGCTTTTTGTTGGTGTGGGAGGGAGTCTACTGGGGTACAGAAGGTTAAAGAAAAGACTTTGTAAACGTTTGCTAGTACAGGAGGAAATCAAATACACCTAAGGCAATAATAAGTTAGAACACCCTAAAATACCAGACTAGAAGGACTCAGATTCTTCCCATCACAGAACCTTGATGAGCAGGACACGGGTTTTGCTCTGTCTCTGTTCACTAGGGAGCAAACTCCTCATCTGCACTGGTGACTTGGGGGTGAACTGCAACCTCAGAACTGACAGCTCTGTCTAAACAAGTGAAAAAGAAACAGAAAAAAAAATCTTCCTCCTTCGCTGCTGATTGTACATCTCTGATAACAATAAACAGACCAATTATTTTCCAAAACTGTGGACTGGGAGAGAGGTAAAATGGTAAAGGAAGGAAATAAGTGTACCTGTTCCTAAATTGCAAAAAGTACATAAAAATAAAGACAGAACAATGTCCTTAAATCCCCACACACTGTAAACGTTATAGTATGTTGATACAACGCCATGACTGCACTGAACTAGCAATATGTTATAAGGTGATTAGTTTGGGGTCTTCCCTAAAACTGCCCAGTCCCAGTTCTTCAAGTCCCTGCACTCCTACAGTGTAGAGTCCTTCGATGTTTTATGGAAAGGACAGGACAAAAGTTCTACTCCAACTTGTCTCCACTTCCCATTCTCTCTTATATTAAGATAGAAAATAAAGCAGGGGATACTTGAAACTCTAATTTCATTTAAAAAAAAATAATTATTGCTACCATTTGGTGAGTAGTACAACATTTTCTAAGAAATTATGCCTGTTAACATTTAGTCTTTTTCAGTGTGAAAAGACAAGCATTCTCCTCTGTGTTCCTCGAACAGCAGTCCAGGCCAAGAGGGCATCCTTTTCTAGCAGGTTTTCTAAGAACAGGATTGTCACGAGAGGGCTGTGTATTTGACAGCCATTGTCTCAGCTGATACTGAGACAGACCCTGGGACCTTCAGGACTTCCAGTGCTGAGCACCAAGTGCTTGAACATGAGCTAGCTAAGACTGTAACTGATGCACTACCTTTTAATCACAGCACAGAAGGTTATGTGCATTAACCAGAATGGAAACAGAATTTTTGTTTACTGTTTGTTAGAGGTAACACAGAAAAGACTACCTTCTTTTGATAAAATAACATAAAATTATTCAGAATCATCCCTCAACACCACCGTAGATGGTGGTGTTATTCAAACATTAGCGATGGGCTTTTAACCACTGCATTTAGCTATCATGCTTCTGGGTCCAGTTTCCCACAGTCTTGGAGACAGTATCACAATGTAAGCAACCAAAGAACTGAGTAAATTTCATTCTTACAAAATCTGACATATCTACAGATATGATTCGGAATAAAGTCTTTTACTTTAATTCAGTGGAGAGTTCAGATCTTGAAGAAAGAGATCCATTTCTCCTGCCTCTCCTGGTGAGCCAGGATTAGACACGACAAATTCAAAAAACCTGAACATTTCTGCCTTACATAGTATCATTCCTTTTTCACTGACTTACCATCTTCAGAATTTTCTTAGAAGTAGCACACAGAGGTGAGCATCATATCTCATTTTTCTGAAAAATGTGAAGGATAGTATCTTCCCTAGTATGGATACTGTAGACTTTTCTAATGTACAGTTCATACAACCTTTTGTAATTGCTGTTCTTATACAATACCCTCAACTATTAGTCCAGGGCGTCTATACCTAAGCAGTATTTATGTTGCAGCACTTTGAGAAAAGGGCCTAAATTTTCCATGGGAGAAAGCAATTTGTGAAGGCATCGTTTCAAGTCCTGCATCATAGCAGTCTTTTAAATTTTTTTTCATCCTAATCTGTGCATATAATATTAATGTGGATGCATCCCATTAAAGGGCTTCAGATAAGGGATGAAGAACAGAATTCTGTAAAATGTATTTTACTGAGGAAAAAAAGCAGGTCTATTAGGAAATCCAGGTTTTACCAGTTGTCCAGTTTTAGAAGTATGGCTTTGATTTATGGATCAAAATTGCTCATTTATTATTTTATCTATACTGCTTTGGGCAATTTTGACAGTTAAAATTTAGTTTTATTGACCAATGCAGCCAGTTTAGCCACAAGGGGACTAATGCACACACAGCCTGCTGCACTCAAGAAGCTATGATTTGATTCCATGACCAAGTCAGACTGGGAATCGCAACCAACATAACAATAAGTTCCAAATCTCGATGCTCGAGGCAAAATTCTTACTCTAAAACCACAATCAACCTTTAAAAGAAGGTGGGAAAGAATTTTGTGATAGGAGCCTCCGTGCACTGTTTATTGTAGCTGATATATTCCACCAATGCTTCTGTCAGCAATGGACACAGAGCAGTACAGAGGAAACCTTTCTTTAATGATTGTGGACAACAGATAAAGCTGGAAGAAGGAAATGAAAATGCAAAAGCGAATCGAAGGTGTGCTCTAGTACTATGGCTTACCAGGGATCTGACTCTGAGAAACTGTCTCGAACATTGCCTTTTTTTTTTCCTAAACGAGATTTTATTCATATGTACATAAATATGCATGAATTCATGTTGCAGTATGAAAGACTTACAAGTTTACTTAAAAAACTTACTGGAATGATTTTAAGCCAATGTTAATTTAGGCCTATCCTATTATAAAATTAGCATCTTCTGCAATCTCAATTTATTGCTCCATTGTGAAGCCCCTTGTGATACATAAACAAATCTCTGAAGAGAAACAAATCAATAAAGTGTCTAATTTGATTAACCATGTTTTTAAATTCATCAAGACAACTGTACAAAAATAAACCACTTACTTGTCAGTATTTTCCACGTCTTCTTTTCATCATCATAATACTGAACCAAATTGCTGGGTAGTCGGTCAGGTCCGGGAGGCAATCCTCCAACCAGTAACAGCATTTTCTTATTGGAACGAATTCTTCACCCAAAACAAGAGGAAAGATGAACAACCACATTACTGAGGAGTATTTTTAGTGGCAACAAAATCATAACCATCAAAAGAATGTTCACTGCTTGCAGTTTTCTATTTCATTTTTTGTGTTTCTTTTCCCAATCATGTCTCAACAATTTTTTGAACCAAGCAGAAAAATGATCAGAAAAGCTGCATATCTCTCTACTCATGGAATAATAAGCTTCCTTTATGCAATTTGTTAGAGGTTCATTCTAGAACGACCTTTTTCTTATATTATCCCTTTAAATCATCACTCTTTACAGCTGAATACACATGAAATGCTCTGGAGTTGTACTAAGGTTAAGCATTAAAGTTGCATGTCAAAAATCGTATTAGTCAAAATCATTATTATAAGCCATTCTACACTCAAAGAACCTTGAAAAAATTAAGGTTATGCAGAGAGTTTGCAAGCCAACTCTTTAATCACACACTGAACTTCGGATATATAGTTTAGTACAATTAGCAGCACTGGGCTAATGGTTATGGGTTAAATGCTACTTACAAGCACTTTTGTTTGTTTAATTTAGTCCAGACTCTTGCTTTCACTCTCCCCCCCGCTCCCCGGCTCCCCCCTCTTCTCTTTGCTCTCCCCCTGTGCACCACTGGCTATAGCAACACCAATTGGTAAAAATGAGACTGTGATGTTGTTGTGAGCCTCCCCAGAGTGGAGCCCTGCCAATGCTTGCCACTGATCCAGCGGCATGAACCTGCTCAACTGTGCAAAGTCACTCTAATTCCCTCCCTCTGTTTTTCTACCTTCTCCCCCAGGGGGTAACCACTGAAAGGAGTGACTACCCACCCATCAAGAGCTGGCAATTCGTTGCTATTAACCGTGACCGTGATTCCCAATCTGCCTGGCAGTTCTTAAGAACAGGACTGCAATGTCTCATATGCAGTAAAAGCGGTAATCTGCACCCTGGCCTCCAACGCTCCACCTGATGAATGTACAATTTCTTTGCAACGTTAAGGGATTTAGCACAATTGTAAGTGAAAAGGGGAGGGGAGGCCCAGACCCCCAGATGAGCCCTGATGCTTTAATAGTCACTTCGCATATAATTGAACTTTCATCGGTTACACTAAGCTTGGGTGTGATAACGCTGAAATAAAGGTCTACACTCAAAACGTTCCCGTCCACCTGATGAATGTACAATTTCTTTGCAACGTTAAGGGATTTAGCACAATTGTAAGTGAAAAGGGGAGGGGAGGCCCAGACCCCCAGATGAGCCCTGATGCTTTAATAGTCACTTCGCATATAATTGAACTTTCATCGGTTACACTAAGCTTGGGTGTGATAACGCTGAAATAAAGGTCTACACTCAAAATGTTCCCTTGAAGTAGGAGGGTGACGTAGCCTGCAAAACATGCATCCATACGAACGAGTGTGCAGGAGGACCACACACTGGATGGAAAGCACCCTTGCCAAACACCAACATTTTTCCAAGCACGACACCATCACTGTAGCAATCTCTGTGTCAGTCTGCAGCAAACACTCCTGACCAAGAAAGGTACAGAAGCCACCAGCCAAAGCCCACCACCACCACTGCATGCGGTGGGGTCAAGCTGCCACCCAGGAGCTCCAACCTCAGCAGCGCACTCCGGCAGCGGGTGCTTTATGACCAAGGTACACCAGTGGCTCACCTCCAAATACTACCTAGAACGAGGGGGGGACACCCACCCGTTTACATCCGTATCAGGATCGCATCCTCTCTGGAGAAGACCGGGCACAATGAAGTGGGTTGTGCTGTAGACATGACGTGCTACCCAAAAGGAACCTCCTTCAGGAAGGGAGCATGCAGCGGAAAGCTCGATCCACACGATGCTTAGGAATAAAGCCTTTCACATGGCTATCTAAATGACAACTACAGACTGCAGATGCATCTGTCACAAGGATGGCCAGGGAATTATCTGGCTGATGGCCCTGTTTGTTTTTAAATGGATTTAGGGCTCGGGGAAGGTCCTGAATTGACAGCGGAGGAAAGGAAAGCCTCATTGCAGGGGCAGGAGCCACGCCGCAGGGGCAGCGACACCGTCCCACGCTGTCCTACCCCCCTGGTTCGCTCCCGACTTGCTGGAAGGACCCCCCTGCAGTCCTTCAGTCTTTCTGACAAGTCAGCCTTTGACCTCAGCACTGACCCTGCTACATGCTGTCAAATGATGACTGTTACCTGCCCACCGGACTGTATCTGTGGAGGGTATCAGGAACCGCCTCACCATCACTGTCGGCACAGACTCCACTCAGTGACACCAACCTCTGGGGAAAGCTTTCACAAGCATTGCCTGCGTCTTGAAACGTTCCATCTCCCCGGTAAAGTTTTTAATGAGAGAACGTTTGATAAAAACTATGCAATACAGGAGTGTGATGAAGTATTTTTGGTATTAGTTAGGGATGACTGCACATGTAACAAGTGGCAGAGCACACCAGAGCCATAACTCAGTTATGCATGGCCATCCCTAACGATAGAGAATAAATTGTTTATTCCAACCCTCTTGTGTTGTATGTTATATCACAATCAACTCCCTGCGTATTGTAAAATTCAGAATGCCCTTGCAAGGTTTACTTGATAAAGGAGTTTATTCTGATTTTCATCTTTCATCCGTAAAACTCCCTTCTAACTCCAAAGCATTGTGAAAAACCAATGAATGGCCAAGGCTCGATAGTTAAGGTGAAGAATGAAATGTCAGAGACAACTCTGAATTTCCAGACTTTGGTAGTTGCAACTATCCTTATCATTACTTTTTCAGTTAAACAATCTGAGAAGGAGCAGCACCACTATATGGGAATGTTTAAAAAACATTTAGTATTTTTACATGTTTAAAATGGGAAGTACACAAAATAACCCCTTAATAAATGTTTAATAAGAACTTAATAGCCAGCACAGTCTCTACCAAAAGCACAGGGAACTCTCACAAGGCAAAGAAGAGATGGGCTCTTTTACTCAAAGTACCTAATTAATCTATATTGAGAGCTCTTCCAGTGAACCAAGTAAAGATAATACAGTGACTAAAGATATGCATGTTTTAATTAATAGCCAGCACAGTCTCTACCAAAAGCACAGGGAACTCTCACAAGGCAAAGAAGAGATGGGCTCTTTTACTCAAAGTACCTAATTAATCTATATTGAGAGCTCTTCCAGTGAACCAAGTTAAAGATAATACAGTGACTAAAGACATGTATGTTTTAAACTGATGTGTTTTCTTGGAGCCAATTCTGCTTTTTAAGTTTTGGCGTGAATAGCTACATTTTAGGTTTTGGGAAAAAAAAAATAAATTTTTTATTACATTACATTTGTGGTTCATATTGCACTGAGCAGTACTGTTAAAATCTTAAAATGCATTTGAAAATATGAAAGACATGGAAATGATCACTGCTTCTATGCAGAAGACTTTTCCAAATATTAATAAAAATGTAATTCAGTGAAACACTATGATGAAGGCAGGATTAAAAATATGTGTAATACCTTAACAAGATAAGGTTTCTCCTTGTCTTGCATTATTACATGTTTGCTGTTTGGATAACTCAAGACTGCCATATGAAACACTCTGCATTATATCTGAAACACTCTCTTTTCATAGTCCTTATTTTACAGTGCAATATACTATTGAGTCACATACTGTGGTCCACAATGTCCCTAGCAAGGCCATCATTATCATCTTGTGTTCAATCAACAGTAGTGGGTCCTGGTCAGGGAAGGCTAAAATAACGTTAACCATGACCAAGCAGGCCAATGTCACGGCAAAAACTGGAGATAAATTACCCATATCTTATCCCAAAAGCATTTCTTACACCTAGAATCCAAGGCTGTAGTTCTCATTGATGAACATCAGACACATGTTGTTATTATTCTGCACACACTTTGCAGTTTCTGTTCTGCAAAGATTTTAGAACACTTAATTCACCTTAATTAAGTTCCTGGGTACCCCATGTGCTGTGAAATTTATTTTGTCTACTTACAAGACTGGAAACCAAAGTCTATTTTGAAGACAACATTTTGAAACTTGTATCATTTCCTACCGGCACACAAACCTAGGAATTTGAGAACTCACACAAGTGGCTTCATTTTCAGAGACGCTGAAGAGCCATCAACATACCTAAATCCTCCTCACTTCAAAGGTAGTAGCAGATGTGCATCAGCTCTAAAACTCAGGTCACTAGTCCATAGTCTAAACTAACCATGAATATACAGGGCAAAATGCTGAGCCCAAGAGAGTTTATCAACTCACAAGGAATCAGCAGAAAAGACAGTAACAGACCTCAATACTCCTGACAACTACTCCCACCCAAAGCTCTTTTGCAACTTGATAGCCTCATATTAATGGACAATGCATGAATGGGAAATACTCTTCTTGTACATTGTTTTCCTTTATTAGTATATCCATCAATCTTGCACTGATGGGTTTTCCTTATCTGGGCAGTTAGCAGAAGTTCATTCTACCAAGGCTGGCAAGAAAACAAGCCCCAACAACTACAGGTTTGCTCCAGACTCGTCCAGTTTTTAAACAAGGCAATAAGGCTCCCCTCTCTGCATTAGTGACTAGAGAGAAACGGAAAGAATACAACGATGAAGTGGCAATCCTCTGGTTCTTAATGCATTTGGAGTAGTGTTACACATCAGAAAGAAAACTGCATTTTAGACATACAGGTGATAGTGGTAATCAGTGGAAAAAAAAAGACTATCCAACTATACTTTCCTCTTAACTCAGGGCTATAATAAAACCAAAAACTTGGGTCATTAATTCTCTTTTAGTATAGGTTGTCACCATGGCTTTGAGTATGGAGTGAGCCAGGTGGCTCTTCAGACCGGGGACCTCACAGATGTGGGATGCCTCGCTCCTGCTTGAGTCCTGACCTGAAAGACAGCAGAGCCAACTGAAACTTCAGGTATTTACTCACTGAACTCTGGCACAAACAAAACCAGCCAGACCACCAGCCCAGACCCAGCAAGAGCAGGGGAATGGGTGCTGAAT